TGTTATAGACTCTAGTCCGAATTCCGGTAAGTAACATAAAATAATGTCAGGGCAGGTAATAATGTACCTTTGTACTATTTAGCATGTCATTGGTCGGTAACAAGAGCAAATTCAATTTAAATCTATTAAATACATTCTAGCGTGTCTCAGTCCTTTGCCCAAAAAGCGGCTATAACTTGTTTTTTCTATTCGAAACAGTAAGAGTGGCACCTTTCTGAAATCTTTATTAAATGAGCAATTTTTTTATGTAATGTAAAATACATTTTTTTCACCAGAGATAGTCAAATTTGGGGAAGAAAATATCAAAAAGTTAAAAATCCCAAAATAGTCCTAATTTTATGATGGTTCCTTAATATATTTTAACTACATTGCATTTGAGTATGGAGAAGCAACTATCTGGAAGTATTTTACATAAAAAATTTACTAAGTATAGCCTGGTTTGTAAATGCAGTTAAAGAAAATACATGAAAAGGCACGATTTTTTTTAATTAAAAAAATTTAAATATTTTAAAAACGGTAACACTTTTACCTGAAAATTTTTTGTTTATCAGAGAGCTCACCCCCCACCTACCTTCGCCTAAAGTTTGGCAGGTTACTTCTGGGACACCCTGTATAAAGCGAGCCATTTCAGCATGCTACTGTGGCTGCTTTCGTCACTCGCACGCACTGCCGTACGCTGTGATTTCATACTGCCAGCTGCAGGGGGCGTGGCAACTTCCATACAAACGGAATTTTTCATATTGCATATCTCTTGAAGTGTTCATGGTAGAGTACTCGAACATGGTATGGAGATATATGAAAACAGTCGCATACTCATTGAGAAAAATTGTGGTTATTGGAAAAGGGGGCTTGGCACCTCCCATACCAGTGTTACCACAAAAAAATTACCAAATTCCTCAAAAGCAAATGAAAAATCCTCAAAATCCGAACAAATTTCTGAAAACTTTCTTATTTACTACTTACAGGTACTTAGCATAAAAATTAATTACATTCCCCAATACAATTGCTACGTTTGTTCTTGCGGTTCAAACAAAGTAGCACCGTTATGTTTTATGCCTTGGTTTGTATATAATATTTCTGCAACTATATCAGTGCTCAGTGTGGTCCTCAAGTCAGTCCTACACATTTTTAAGCTACTTAATATACATTCTACTGAAGCATTAGAAAAGGGCTATATTAGTAATGCAGATATAATTTTTTTAATTGGGAAACTTATATGAACCTGAAGAATCTTTCAATTCAAAAACTTTTTTCCTATAATTTTCTTGATCTAATGAAAAATCAATATTAATATCCTTATGATCGAACAATTCGTTATCGAGATTTTGCAAGTTCAAAATAAGTTGAAAATATACAGATGGAATGAGAAAAATTATCGATAACATTTTGAATATTTAGCAACAAATGCAGATATGCTTAAGAGCGAAAAACACCACACGCGCGGCTTGACAAACCAAGCGAAATATCCCTTTGCCTAAAGCTATTTATGTTGTGTATGGGGGTTTTTGAAGGTTTGACAAACCATTTGAGGAAAATGTGAGCAAAAATCAAATTTTTTTGACTTGCTGGCCGCCATGTTGACGTTTGATAAACCGCTTACGTTGTGTATGATAAAATCGCCTCATTCGCAACGGAATTTTTACCGAATGAGGACGCAAGATAGAAAAATCGAAGAAAACCAAACCCTTTTACATTGTGAACCGGAAGAAAACTAAAATTCTTTGCTTGAACGAGTCATGTTTGCATGGTGTATGGCAAAATGGGAAAAGTAGGATTGAAAAATGTTTGACAAGCCGCTTGTGTGGTGTATTCCGGTCTTTATAAAACTTCGGAAAGTTTTTTGTTCAAAAATTTGCAGAGCGATTTAACAACTCTCTTGTGTAAAACATGGTTGCATTTGTTATATGCAAATATATCGAGAGATAATTCCTCAAAACAAAAAACCTCAAAAAATACTCAAGCGCTCCCGAAATTCCTCACGTTTTGGGGAATTACTCACAAAGTGGCAACACTGTCCTATACAAACAGAGTTTTTCATACTGCATATCTCTGGAAGTGTTCATGGTAGAGTACTCGAACATGGAATGGAGATATATGAAAACAATCGCATACTCATGGAGAAAATTGCGGTTATTTGAAAAGGGGGCGTGGCACCTCCCATACAAACCGCATTTTTCATACTGCATATCTCTGAAAGTGTTCATGGTAGAGTACTGGAACTTGGTATGGAGATATATGAAATCAATCACATAGTCATGAAGAAAAATTGGGGCTATTAGAAAAAGGTGCGTCGCACCTCCCATACAAACCGATATTTTCATACTCTATACCAGGGTTGTTGCGAATAATCGCATTTGAAACCGCGGAACTTCCGCATAAATTTTAACATTCGCATTCGCAATAATCGATGCGGAGCTTTTGCGAATGCGAATATTTTGCAAGTCTACCTATAAAACGTATATATGGCAAAAAAAAACAAGTAAGAAAGTCTAAGTTCGGGCGGAGCCGAACATTAAATACCCGGCGCAAGTATTAAATATATGTTTTCCACCTTTCCGAAAGCTACCGCTACATGATAAGCCGGGGTGTATACATTTTAATTAAATTAGCGTCCTTAAATTTCGAAATACTGAAATTTCAAGCATTTCTGAATTTACCTTTATATGAAAAGCGGCCGTAATTTTAGACCTATTTCAACAATTTTGAACGGTTTGCTTATATGTGGCAAGCACAATAACCATACCGAGTTTGGTACAAATTGCTAGAACGGTTAGCGAGATACATATATGTGATCACAAGTGGGCGGTGCTACGCCCATTTTCCAAAATTTTGTCATAAACGTATTTCTTGGTAAAGAATTGTTGCAATCATCAATTTTGAATAAATTAGCTTCAATATTTACTGATTTATCGAAGATTTTGTATTTCTCGAAATTACCGTTATATGGGATGTGGGCGTGGTTATTGTCCGATTTTAGAAATTTTCGGCCAGTTGGTATGCTGTACCAGGACCAACAACTGTGCCAAGTTTGGAAGAAATTGGTGTAGCGGTTACCAAGATATAGACAGGTGTAATGGCTACGCCCATTTGCCAAAATTTTTTTATATTCTTATTTTTCGTCTAAAACTCATTGTAAATATCAATTTTGAGTGAATTATCTTCAGTAGTTACTAAAATATCGCAGTTTTCGTATTTCTGAAAATTACCGTTATATGGGAGGTAGGCGTGGTTATTGTCCGATTTTTAAAATTTTCGGCCATCTAGTATAATGCCCATTTCCATAAATTTATAATATTCATGTTTTCCGTCTGAAACTCATTGTAAGTATCAATTTTGAGTGAATTATCTTCAGTAGTTACTAAAATATCGCAGTTTTCGTATTTCTTAAAATTACCGTTATATGGGAGGTAGGCGTGGTTATTGTCCGATTTCGCCCATTTTCAATACCATCCGTCCTACGCCCAAAAGAAGTTCACGTACCAAGTTTCGTTAAGATATCTCAATTTTTACTCGAGTTATCGTGTGCACAGACGGACGGACGGACGGACGGACAGACGGACAGACAGTCACCGCTTAATCGATTTCTCTTTTCATTCTGATCATTTATGTATACATTTGTCTATATCTATCTCGATTCGTTTTGCCTGTTACAAACAACCGTTATGTGAACAAAGTTATAATACCCTTGTGCACAAGTGCGCTCGGGTATAAAAATAACAGATGGTGAGTGTGCGTGATTTACAAAATCATCAACGTGAGCGTGCGTGAACGTGAGCCAAAATCATTCACACATCATGTGTAGGATCCTACTTGTAATTCTAAGCAAATTTGCCGAAGAAACCAAATTGCGAAAAAAATTTCAAAGAAAATTTTAAAATTTTCAGTGTGGCGCCCTCTGGCGGAAGTTTTAAGAAAAAGAAGAGTGCAGAAATAGATTCTTATACCAAACAACCCATTATAGCATGTGTTTCTTTACGACACTACAGCAAAATGCTAAGACACCTATTTTCGCAATTTGGCAAACTCCAAATTGATTTTAAACCCATGGTTTCTCCGGAAAATTTTCTTAGAATTACATGTAGAATCCTTCTGTGTAATTCGCGTGTCGAAAAAATATCCCATACAAATTGACCCGCGCTAATGCACATACCTAAATTTGTTATACAATTTTTGTGCAAGTGGCTTTATAGCTACACAAAACCCATTCGATCTCCTGCGAATGCAATAATTCGCAGATATGAGTAATTCAGTTTTACATATTCGGATGTACATTAGCCATTCGCGTATGTTTTCGTTCAATCGTAATCATCAATTTTTCCATTTTCTCACTAGGCTTAGTGTGCCCACCACTTATCTAAAACTGTAAGGGCCGTTTTCTCATCTAACCTTTAGATTACCGGCCACTTTACCGTCTCGATATACGAGTTTTCGTTTTCTCATCAGCGCATTAATTTCTCGAATCGATAAATTGTTGCTCACCCGATGCAACCTTTAAAAATTTGTACCCAACTTTAAATTTTGGTTTGGTTTTGGTTTATGAGTCAGATATATTAGATATTTCAACCAAGGTTTTGGTTTTTGCTAACAGTTGCTCTTGCTTTATATTTGCTTATGTTGCATTGCCAACCTTTGAAATTTTATGACGAATGTAGTCAAGTTTCACTCTACGGAATAAAAAATTAATTTTTACCGGTAAGATAAGAAAACGAAAACACTTTAAAGTGAGGAACAATTTATCCGCCCTGTTAGTAAAGGCAACTTTACTGCTTACATTAGAAAACGGCCCTAAAAAGTAAAAAAAAAACAATATTCGTCATAGCGAGGTCAGTATTAAAAAGTATTCTTTCACTGGCTAAAGTAAGCATAGAATTGTGTTGGAAACGCTCTGTCTGAGGAAGGTTGTACGCTTCTTCTAATGCGTTTTTGATCTTGGAAGAATTGTTTCGTATTTACCATTTCAGATAGCTTTCAATTCATGTAATACTTTTTTCGTGTTTCAGGGTACTTTAATGGAAAATAATGTAACTGGGCGTGTGGAACCAAAGGAGGCGCCGGCGTGGAAGCGACGTACTTTTCGTTATCTTGTCAGTTTTCCTGTCATTGGGATGTGTTTGACTCTGGTTTTTGTTGTTATGTTCCTGATGCTACGTTTCCAGGTAAGTTCTTCGCAAAATTTTCGCCGTTCCTGCCACAAGGCAAAAACTTTATCAGTGAAAAAAGGTTTTGAATGAAATAGGAGTTTCGCTGGAAGTTTACCTTGTTTCCGCAAGCAAAAATCACGTTAATGAAGAAATCGCAAACAACGAAATTTTCATAAACTGTTGCGAAGGTGGATAATAACGAGTGGATGTCCGAAAAATGTATTTTTAACATAGTGACCAACATTTGATTTTTACTAGGGATGTGCCGGGATCCGCCTTTCGATTATAGAAGATTCAATTTAAAAATCTAGTTCAGATTTTTTTTGTATTTTTAAAATCAAATTTAATTGTATCTAATTAGTAATGCGGAAAATTAGTATCGGTACCTGCAATTCACAATGGTTAAGAAACATCTGTATGCTGATACGGGCAGTTTACTGCGTATTCCGCAAAAGTTCCGAACTACATACACCCAGAAAAAGGTTTAGTTATAATTACCAAGATTTGGTTATAGTGACCAAGTGGCATAGTTGGATATGGCGAAATAAATATCTAGTTCACGAAAGTCTGCAATTTACTTAAGACTTCTAGTTAGGGCAAATGTATATTTGTTAATAATTAGAAAACGACTACCTTGATTGGACAATATTGTTAGTTGAATAAAATCATTGTTGAGCAAATACATATAAACATTTAGGCTATTCAGACTATACTCGTTAAGGTCTTAATTCGGTATTCGGTAACTCCCGCCATTGTTTTGTTTTTGTAAATTACTGAATAAATCAATCACAACTTAACGAGGTGACAAGTCTGGTAATGTGGTAACACACGCGTTAAAATGTTAGCTGATTTCTTTCTGTCACTAATTTTCTGGAATTTTCTCGCGCGAAAAATGTATATATTTTATCAAAAGTTCAATAAACCTTTCTGTCGTGGAATTAATAAATGTTTATAAATAAAAAAACTTTACGTCAGCTGATTCGAAAGTAATTTTAACCAGAAAAAGAATAAGGGGCGTTCGTAGTTGAAAGTGTTACCAGCTACCAGATAACGAATTAATACATTAACGAGGATAGTCTGAATACCCTTAATACTTTGGTTGATACAAGTTTTCATTTAATTTTGTGAACTTGCTGTAGACTTGTATCAACTAACCGTTTATTATTGGAAAAAAAGTTTCAGTTTGATACAACTAAAAATTTAATCGATGGTTGTTGTGTTTGCGCTCTTCTTGTATTTACTTATACTAAGCATAAAAAATACATACATATTTACATAAATAGTTACTAGTGTAAATAATACATAGATATGTATATGGTGGTAAGAATTTCCTAAAAAGAAACGATGAAACAGGAACACTCGTGCGAAAACCCAGGTCAATATCTGCTGGAAGTGCTGGTTTCACCCCTAATTAGGCGCATGGGTACAAGGCCATTTCAAGTTGAAAAAAAATGTCTTGGAGTGCTTGGAGCGTGTTCGCGCTCTGTCTAGCTTCCTAACTCCCCACGGAGTACGTAAATAAGTCATGGCCAGAACATCGGTGTGTACACATTTGTCGCTACTTTCTTAAGCCCTGCCCCCATGCGACCACTTATATAACATTTTTTGATAGAGTTAAGTTTTTATTTTTGTATCTAAGTTTGAAGTCAAGGTTATGCTTTTCTTTCTTAAAGTTAACTATAATAAAGAGCTTTAATATTTATGACAATATACATTTCGTTTTATTTATTTAGTCACGGTTGGAACCATGATACAAAAAAGAAGGTAGTTTCAATAAACAACTTTTTGATTAAAAGGGAGATTTTTGACAGTTGCTCAATTGTAAAAAATTCGATGCGGCGTTACTCAATTAAGTTTTTTGGAAAAGAGGGGATTTTATATCCTAAATTTGGGAGTATAAATAAAATAGTTGTGTTAACATTTACCTTTTAAAAATAATTAATATCTTTTCCTAAAAAAGTTTACATTTTACATTAAATTCGATAACTACTTGCCAAAATCTTTATTTTTGCATTAATAAAATTTTAGTGAACATATTTTAAAATTATTATTTCACAATGTCCATGGCCAGGACTATTACAGTTTTCTCTATCGGATACGTTTATTTCTGATATATTTCAGATAATGAAATTAGAATTTCGATATTGTCTTTGTCCATGTCTTTCAAGTAACTTGAAAACGGAATTTACTTTGCGACCCATGGGCCTCATGACTTTCAGAGAAGTGAGTATTATCTAATTCTAGTATACTTCGACAATATCGTTGTCTCTGTGGGTAAAAACAAATATATTTTACTGTTAAATATTGGAGGGGGTTGTGAAACAAGATTAATGATTCATTGTTAGTATGAAAATTAGAAACACAACTATCAACTTCTTGCGCATTAGACCTCTTCGCTTTCAAAAACAAAAGGGGTTATTTGTTCAATGGTTTTGGGGTGGCAAGCGGAGACGGACCCACTAAAAAATTGGGTAAAATTAGAATTTTGACAGAGAAAATGTAAGTCCAACTACGGCTACGCTGATCCAGTATTTTTTAAAATAAAGGTCCATATTTCAAACCGAATTTAGTAATAAATTTGTATCTGAATGTTAGAAATCTATATTTTAAACTAATTTTTTGCTTTGGGTTAAGCATTTGGACACATTAACCGAAAATTATTGTACAAGTAACCGAGCCGTACCCAACAATATACCTTTTGCTTCTTCAAATTTCGATTCTAAGAACAAAATATTTGTAAATAACCAAAAAATTCATAACAAAATTTGGGGGGTTTTAGATAGTGGGTATGGTAACACGAAATGTCACAATCTACTTAATTGTCAGGTTGTTAATATGGCGACGAAAAAGTGACAATGGAACTACCTTCTTTTTTGTATCATGGTTAGAACATCGTCGTGTACACATGTGTCGCTACTCGCTTGAGTGCTGACCCCATGCGACTACCCCTGTAACATGTTTTGGCGGAGGTAAGTTTTTAATGTTTTTTTTTTTAAGTTTGAAGTCAAAATTATGTCTTTCTTTTTTTAAGTTAACGATAATCGAGTACTTTAATATTTTTGTAAATACACACTTCGTTTTTTTTATTTTGAAAACTCTTTTTTTAACACTTTTATTGGGGTCCCTGGGGACTCCATGAAACTAATTGTGTGATTTTCCTTATGCGCCTAATTAAGGGTTAAGTATACTGCTATGCTTTTTCCTTGGCTAAATAGACACTTTCAAATTATAATTCACGTGAATTATATAGCCACTGAGAAACCCTGGTTGGCATCAAACTTTATATTTTTAAATAACTATGCGCACACCGAAACAACTCGCGGCGATGGCAAAACTGAAACTGAGACAAACAAGTTTGGGCATGCCATAGCACACACTTTTCTTTCTCTACCTAGCGCAGTGATCGACGTGCTTTAAACTATGTTCACATTACCAACATAAAATACTTAGTTTCGTTTAAAATACCTCACTAAATTAAGTGCGTTCATACACGCGATTCTTTATTTGTCTTGACAGCTTTGTAGCAACCCTGTGTTATTGTTTATTTAACGAAAAGAGATCGCGAATGTGAGTAATTGCGTATATTTTTATATTCTGAGTTGTTTGTGGTAATTTTTTAGATTTTAGATGAGTGATCAAAAGAGAAAGCTTCTGGAAATATTTTACGAACTACCACGCGCGATTATTAAAAACAAGAACGTCCAAACACAATGACATATCAGTTATGGGACAATACTTTTTTCGATTATTATCGATAAAATTAGAGCCGACACTGATTTGTTCGTGATTTGGTTCTTGCTTTAAGATAAACTACGTACTTTCAACTTAATTTACTGAGAGACTTTACAAGGCGAAATTACTTAGTTTGTACTTAATTTAATTTAAGATTGACCTCTAAATTACGCCAATGGGAACATAGTTTTAGCTTAAGGCCGGTCCACATAGAACTTTCGCCTTGGCTTTGGCGTTGGCGTTGGTTTGACAGAACGCACGTTTAAAGTGTGCTTGCTACAATTAACGCTTGGCAGCGAATGCTTGGGACACTAAATTAACATACTAACGACAGATAAATTAATATTTCATATCAATAATTGCGTTAAAAACGATATTTCTTGCCCGCACTTGAATAAAAAGGAATAATATTTCACATAATTTTATTTATTTGCAACAGCTGATGAGCGACGCACGCGAAAAGTTGAGAGTTGGCCATCTTTTTGCTTTGTGTTGGCGTGAGCGTTGTTTAATTTTGGCTATGTGGACGGCTGCATTTGAATTCATGTATTCATAGTCAGCTGTTGAAGAGACGCCAACGCCAACGCAACGCCAAAGATCTATGTGGACGGGCCTTTACTGAGCGCTCTGTGACCCCACACATGTTTCACCCATATACGAACAGCCGCTGTGGTGTAGTGGTAAGCAGTCCAAACCCTGCAGGGAAAGCTACTAGTTGTGAACTAGAATTCTACCGGTTTGCGTTTCAGCCGAACTAGTTCACGTTCTATCCTTTTTCAATGTTAGCGACTGGTATTTTTAACATTGCGATGTCCTACGAGATGTCAATTGTCAGGCTATGCATCAGCATCTACTAGTATAAATACTAGTAGCATCATACCAGTTGATGAGATAGTCTGCCAATTCATGCCCCGTGAAAAGCATAAGTGTGCGTTTTTGCTCGCGACGCTCCAGCAGTCACAATGGCCGACAGAGAAGAGCACTCGCGTGGTAAGCCTGAGGTCCCAGGTTCAAATCCTGGCGCAGGTAAAATTTTTTTATTTTCTATTTTTTATTTTATTTTTATTTTTTATAAATTTATTTTTTTGTTTATGCTGTTTATTGTAATTTTTTAATTTAATAAAAAAATATTTTTGTTTAATTTCTTTGTTTTTATATTTCTTCCTAAATGTTTTTTTGCAAAGCAATTAGATTTTCAAATTTGTTATTTATTTATAAATTGAATAAATTATTTTTACTTACATTTATTTAACTTTAAAAATCTTAACCACCTCCAAGCGGCC